CTATCGGAGGGCCGGTGGTCTCTCGGGGCCGGGGTGGGGAGCTGTCGGGAGTGGATTCGAGGCCTGGACGGAGCCCCGGAGAGGAGAGTGGGCTGAAACCCCAGAGATCCCAGAGTCGGGCGTTCGGTTCTGGGAAGCCCTCCAGGGAGACCGCACAGTTGCCAAGCCGGGCGGGCAGCCGAGAGCCGGTCGTCTCTGGGGCTGGAAAGGAGGGTCCTTGTCAGAGACCTGCGAGCCAGAGCCAGGCAGGACTTGGGGGCGGTGCCTGGAGGGCTGAGCGGGAGGGATCCGTGGCTGCCCTGGAGAGGAGGGGTGGCAGGGGCTGGGGTCTTCCCAGTGGTCGAGGGAGAGGCGGCTGTGCAGAGCCCGGGTGTGCGGCGAGGGATCCCATAATCTTTAACCTTTGATGTTTAATGTTTAACCTTTCATGTGCGCTCGCCTACCAGGCGGAGGGACCCAGGCTGCCCTCGGGGAAGCAGAGCTCCAGTCCACACTGCTGCTTCCGACAGAGCACCTCCGGTGTGGGGGCTGGGGTGGTGGCATTGCCTTGCTTGCAGGACTCCAGGAATACGTTCAGTCCTGTTTTCTTGTAGAGGTGTGGGGGGTAGCCCTCTCTACCCAAGCCCAGGGTATGAGAAGTGTACCTGTCTGTCTTTAATCGGGGGCCACACAGTCTCTGTCATCAGGCATTCCACTCTGGCTGGGACAGCTCAACTTTCCCAGCCAAAACTGATAGCACGTTAGGAAGCAGCATATTATAGACAGAGTAATCTACAAAGTATTCACCTAAAGTTCAAGCCAGAAAGCAGTTCGGCTAAGCCACAGATTGAATCGCTGCGGTCACTCAGCAAACGCTGCCAGCTGGAGGTGGTGGGGAGGCCTGGTCCTGGGAGGGGACAGACGGAAGGGCTGGTGCGGGGTCTCCGGGGACGGGAACTTCCCGGGACTCAGTACATAGAGCACAGAGGTCAAGGGGGGGCTGGTGCCTGATGGTGACTGAGTGCCGTGGAGAAGATGCATGCCCTGGCCATGCTCGACCAGTCCAACAGCCGTCATTAGTCATTGTATTTCAGGTTTCACGCAGAGTAATGGGAACACGCTTGTTTTATTTATTTATTTTTGGAGAGGTTTTTGCTATAGGGCACGTGCGCTCGCCAGAAAGACAGAGATAGGGAGACAGAAAGCGAGAAACCACCCCCCATGGGGGATGGCCACGCCGCAATCCCTTCTCCCCCATTCTCCTCTCGGGATCTTGGGCGCGCACGCACGTGCGCCCAGCATGAGTTTAAGCCACTGGATCCAGGACTTGAACCGCGGTCGACTACATGGGAGTTCAGCAACATCGCCATTACACCAACTGCTGGTCCTAACTCTTGTTTATTTAAAAATCAGGAGACATAACAGCAGCAGGCAGGATTATTTGATATATAATTCTGGATGTTTTTGATATTGGTAAAAAGATACACAGATGAGCGTCCCTAGTGAAGGGTCTCTTGGGGATTCATATTTTCTGTGCGGTATACTTTGTCACCTTACAGTTCAAGCCCCTGCTAGTGGCAGCCACTGCCCTCAGCACTGGAGAGAGGCCGTGAGGGCCTCAGAGCTGGCATCCCGTTCGCGCTTTGCCAAGGAAGACTGTAGACCGTCATGAGTCGGAGCTGGACTGGTGCCGGGAGGCGGCACGCAGCTGCAGTTGCACACAGAGCCTCCAGGCCTCGCCGAGCTGGTTAAGTGGGAACAAAGGCCTAGGCAGGGAAGCGGGGCAGGGGACATGGCCGTGGCCATTCTAGGCAAAGAGTGAAGTCAAAGCCTTGAGGTGGAAGCTCCCTGCCCAGCCGCAGGGAGGAATGGACGCTCGGAGCCCTGGAGCCTGCGCACCTGGGCAGAAGTGGGTACAGGGAAAGGGGAAGGGCTGGTGCAGGGACAGAAGCACCCTCTGCAGTGCCCGTGAGCACTGTGCCCCTGCTCCCAGCGGGACAGAGCTGTGTTCTGCCCTCCGTGGACAGCAGCTGGGTGGCCCAGGCCAGTGGACCCCGAACCCCAAGGGGCAGACAGAAACTTGGAAAATCTGATCAGACGCTCTCCTGTCAATTGGGAAGGAAACCAGCAAATACCAGGTTCCTGGGAACGTGGATTTGGACGTTCCCAGGTGCTGCTGAGGAAGCCTGTGGTGGGCTGGAGCAGAGGCCTGCCCTCTCGTCGGGACTCGCGCCTGTGTGTCCCTGTTCATCTCCTCCCTGATCAGACGCATTTCTGCCTTCAGGAAGGTGTACATGGACTACAACGCAACCACACCCCTGGAACCGGCCGTCATCCAAGCCGTGACCGAAGCCATGCGGGAAGCCTGGGGGAACCCCAGCAGTGCTTACCCAGCAGGTAATTCTAGAAGGCCTGAGGCTCCATTGGGAGATAAGGACAGGTGGGGGCAGGGCTCAAGCCTTAGAGAAATTGTCACCCACTGCAATGGCTTTATTTGGGTAGGCTTTCTGTGAACTGTATGTTTTCAGCTGTTATTTTTGGTAGGTATTTTTTCAGCTGTTATTTTTGGTAGGTATTTTTTTCCTGAGAAATCCAAGTTTGTAAGTTGAACCTTGTTGATATCGTAAATTTCAACCTTTAATGTTTCATCTTTAATGCTTTCATGTCTCCCTTTACCAGATGAAAAAGACATCTTTTTGAGAGTTATTGGTACTAAAAGTGTCTGTTAAAGCCCTCTGTATCTCAACTCGGTCAATCCTTAAAAATTTTGCAAAATGTACCTTTTAAATCCTTAGTTACATGAGTATTTCTAGCCTATTTTTAAGTGAAAATTACTTTTAAATTCATTATTTTCATTATAATTATAAATTATCTTATTTGTTTCCTTCAGCATATAATAGAACATTAAATTGAAGATTTGGGGAAATAATTTGCTTCAAATAATTTTTCAGGAACTATCTGAGAGAATTATGTTTTTCGAATGGGCCGGTTCAATGCTTACCTTTCTGATGTAGTGTTTATTAGGGATAATGAAGACGAATTGTCTTAACTGTGGTTTCTGATGTACTAAATGACATGTGGAGCAGGGTCTTGCCAAGCCCCGATTTGGTGGCATAGCCCCTACAGGGTGTGATAGGTTCTGTGTCCATTCGCTTGGTAAACGTTTCACAGCCGCCTGGTAACTACAGGGTTTTCAAAGTCAGGTCCCGGCCGTTCATTAACTTACTGGTCTGCTGGGTGTGTGTGCAGGCTAGTGTCTGCACGTGGCCTGCCTGGATCCAGCCTCTCCACTAGTGGCAGGGAACTTTCTGATGTGCTTAACTTGAGAATGTGGAGGACAATTATATGCCGAGAAAGGCTTTTTATTTTAACCAAATCGGGCCAGCTCTGGAGAGAAGTCGTGTTCTCCCCTGAACGAAGCCTGCCGGGAGCTTTGAGGCTGCCTTGGCAGCCCTGTCCCCGTGGGATAAGTGCCCTGAGTGAGCGCTGCATGGCCGTTCACGTTCTGTGGATTCTTGGGTACAAATGCAAGTAGTAATAATAGAGAACGCTCTTTGTCATAGAATGGTTTCACATGCTCACAATGTTAGGATTTAAAATCTCTCAGGGGAATTTGCTGTGAGGAAAACACGGGAGGGTCTGCCTCCTGGCAGCCACTGAGAGTGTGCATACATGAGCCCTTGCTGAGCTTTCCAAAAATGGAATTGAAAACGTCTTCTGCCTGGCTACTTTTGGTTGGGGTCTTTACTCTGAAGTCCATCCGTGTCGGCCCGTCTTCCTCACTCTGAGATCGTCCATGTCAGCGGTCCGTCCACGTTGACAGGTCTGTCCACGTCGGCGGGTCTTCCTCACTCTGAGGTCCGTCCACGTTGGCCTGTCTCCCTCACTCTGAGATCGTCCATGTCAGCGGTCCATCCATGTCGGCAGGGCCGTCCACGTCAGCGGGTCTCCCTCACTCTGAGATCGTCCACATCGTCCCGTCTCCCTCACTTTGAGGTCTGTCCATGTCGGCCCGTCTTCCTCACTCTGAGATCGTCCATGTCGGCGGTCGGTCCATGTCGGCAGCTCTGTCCACATCGGCGGGTCTTCCTCACGCTGAGGTCCATCCACGTGGGCCAGTCTTCCTCACTCAGAGATCATCCACGTGGGCCCGTCTTCCTCACTCCGAGGTCCGTCCATGTCGGCCCATCTTCCTCACTCTGAGATCGTCCACGTCGGCGGGGCTCCCTCACTCTGACATCCGTCCACGTCGGCGGGGCTCCCTCACTCTGACATCCGTCCACGTCGGCGGGGCTCCCTCACTCTGACATCCGTCCACGTCGGCGGGGCTCCCTCACTCTGACATCCGTCCACGTCGGCGGGGCTCCCTCACTCTGACATCCGTCCACGTCGGCGGGGCTCCCTCACTCTGACATCCGTCCACGTCGGCGGGGCTCCCTCACTCTGACATCCGTCCACGTCGGCGGGGCTCCCTCACTCTGACATCCGTCCACGTCGGCGGGGCTCCCTCACTCTGACATCCGTCCACGTCGGCGGGGCTCCCTCACTCTGACATCCGTCCACGTCGGCGGGGCTCCCTCACTCTGACATCCGTCCACGTCGGCGGGGCTCCCTCACTCTGACATCCGTCCACGTCGGCGGGGCTCCCTCACTCTGACATCCGTCCACGTCGGCGGGGCTCCCTCACTCTGACATCCGTCCACGTCGGCGGGGCTCCCTCACTCTGACATCCGTCCACGTCGGCGGGGCTCCCTCACTCTGACATCCGTCCACGTCGGCGGGGCTCCCTCACTCTGACATCCGTCCACGTCGGCGGGGCTCCCTCACTCTGACATCCGTCCACGTCGGCGGGGCTCCCTCACTCTGACATCCGTCCACGTCGGCGGGGCTCCCTCACTCTGACATCCGTCCACGTCGGCGGGGCTCCCTCACTCTGACATCCGTCCACGTCGGCGGGGCTCCCTCACTCTGACATCCGTCCACGTCGGCGGGGCTCCCTCACTCTGACATCCGTCCACGTCGGCGGGGCTCCCTCACTCTGACATCCGTCCACGTCGGCGGGGCTCCCTCACTCTGACATCCGTCCACGTCGGCGGGGCTCCCTCACTCTGACATCCGTCCACGTCGGCGGGGCTCCCTCACTCTGACATCCGTCCACGTCGGCGGGGCTCCCTCACTCTGACATCCGTCCACGTCGGCGGGGCTCCCTCACTCTGACATCCGTCCACGTCGGCGGGGCTCCCTCACTCTGACATCCGTCCACGTCGGCGGGGCTCCCTCACTCTGACATCCGTCCACGTCGGCGGGGCTCCCTCACTCTGACATCCGTCCACGTCGGCGGGGCTCCCTCACTCTGACATCCGTCCACGTCGGCGGGGCTCCCTCACTCTGACATCCGTCCACGTCGGCGGGGCTCCCTCACTCTGACATCCGTCCACGTCGGCGGGGCTCCCTCACTCTGACATCCGTCCACGTCGGCGGGGCTCCCTCACTCTGACATCCGTCCACGTCGGCGGGGCTCCCTCACTCTGACATCCGTCCACGTCGGCGGGGCTCCCTCACTCTGACATCCGTCCACGTCGGCGGGGCTCCCTCACTCTGACATCCGTCCACGTCGGCGGGGCTCCCTCACTCTGACATCCGTCCACGTCGGCGGGGCTCCCTCACTCTGACATCCGTCCACGTCGGCGGGGCTCCCTCACTCTGACATCCGTCCACGTCGGCGGGGCTCCCTCACTCTGACATCCGTCCACGTCGGCGGGGCTCCCTCACTCTGACATCCGTCCACGTCGGCGGGGCTCCCTCACTCTGACATCCGTCCACGTCGGCGGGGCTCCCTCACTCTGACATCCGTCCACGTCGGCGGGGCTCCCTCACTCTGACATCCGTCCACGTCGGCGGGGCTCCCTCACTCTGACATCCGTCCACGTCGGCGGGGCTCCCTCACTCTGACATCCGTCCACGTCGGCGGGGCTCCCTCACTCTGACATCCGTCCACGTCGGCGGGGCTCCCTCACTCTGACATCCGTCCACGTCGGCGGGGCTCCCTCACTCTGACATCCGTCCACGTCGGCGGGGCTCCCTCACTCTGACATCCGTCCACGTCGGCGGGGCTCCCTCACTCTGACATCCGTCCACGTCGGCGGGGCTCCCTCACTCTGACATCCGTCCACGTCGGCGGGGCTCCCTCACTCTGAGATCATCCACGTCGGCGGGTCTCCCTCACTCTGAGATTGTCCATGTCGGCCGGTCTTCCTTACG